TGGGAATTAGGTAAAACACAAAAAAGTGTGAAAAAATTTGAACAATAGGATAAGTTTTTTGAATGGTTTCCCATAATTATCCACTTGGTTTGGTTTAAAAGGTTCCAGATAACGTTTCTAAGCAGATAAAGTTGTTAGACTGACTATATTTGTATTATTTTTCTCATTGTTCAATTTCTCATTTTGAAATGAAATTAAACATTTATTTTTCGTGTTAAAACATATTACTTGATAATAATTTTACTAAACATTTCATTGATAAAAAGAAGGAAATAAGTATTAGAAAAAATAATAAAGAAATAAATTAAATAATAGTAATGTTAAGGCGCCCATTAAAAGGCAATACAAAAATTGTTCCCAGGGTAAACCATCAGATGCTAATGTTCGCAGTGCACAGGAACACGCACCTGAGCTAGTGCTGTTTCTTGAAGCAACACTAACAAGGAAAAGTTTGTTGATTTTTGAAGCTCATTTCCACCTTTATATACCACTCAGATACTATTTATTATTATATTGTTACTATTATTGAATAATTTATGTTCTATTATTGATAAATAGTTGTTTTATTAAATAAATATAGTTAAGTCAACCTCATAACACCTTCTGTTTTGTTCTTTATCTTCTTTTTGTTCCACAAAAAACAATTTAAATAATAAAATAAATTATAACTATTAATATTTATAAAATATACTTTTAAATTATTTTTATTAACATTTTTTTATATAATAAGTCTTATTTGATTATTTACCATAATTATATTCTGTATTACTATAGTTCTAAATAAAAATATTAATTTATTTTATGGATGTTTTTTTTAATTTCTCAAAAAAAAAAACATTACAAATAGTAAAATAATCAAAATAATATACTATACCACAAACAAATTCCAAAAATGAAACCCACAAATTTTAAAAGATGGGGAGGGTAGCTCGTCAAAAGAAATTAAAAACAATAGATCCGTTTTGTCCACAAAAACGAAAGGATACCGTTCAGAAGATACAAGAGGAACGCCACAAGGGCCGTGTTAAACAGCATGATTTGCCCTACAAAGAGGAGGATGAGTACAAAATTCCGCTGATGTGGCGATTGACTCAACTTGCAATGCAAAACGATGGAAAATCAAAAGCTCAAATCAAAAGAGAAAATGAGAAGCACGAAAAAGAATACCAAGAACGAAGGAAAAAAGAGAGGGAAGAATTCAATGGAAAAAAGTCGAAAAAAGATAAAGCCCTGGCGCTCATCGAAGATATCGGTTCTTCAAAGAAACAACAAAATTTCAAAAAACTTAAAATTGACGCACAAATCAGAAAAGAAGACGCTGAACTTAAGTCTTTGTTGAAAGAAAAAGAACGACTTGAAAAAATGCTCCAGAAATGAGTTTGATTTTTATTGAATGATTTTTTTAATTAAAAAATAGTATTTTTTTGTTATTAACTTTTAATTAAAAGAATATAATATTTTATAAATTATTTTTTTATGTTATTTATTTTTTTTATTTTTTACATGTTGAAATAAAATAAAAATAATTTTTTATTTTTTTTGATGTGTAAAATTTAATTAATTTAATAATATAATTTAACTAAAATGACAAAATCTTAAAATAAATAAATCTGTGTTTTCAATTATTAAAAAAAAAAACGAAAAAAGTTATTGCTACTTCAATGAAATTAAAAATATTATAAAAAATACTATAACTATTAATAAAAATTAACATTTTTCCAAATTAAAAAATTCTTTGTTTTATTTTAAATCGAATAAAAGAACGAATAAGTCAGCATGTTATTATTTGATTCATTTAATAAAATTGTAGTTTTATGGTAATAACACGAACTAGTTATCATGTTTCTCATCGCTTTGGTAATATATTATGTATGTGCTACAAATGTCAAATGGTGCAAATACGAGAATGAAATGGTCTGTGTAAAGGAATATGAAAGTTGTTTAAGAACATATGAGTGGAGTGTGACTGACTCTGTTGTTCGTCTTAATACTTTGAAAGAAAGTTTTGTCATACATTGTGAACAAGAAACTACACTAACCCTTTTCAAAACAGCTACAAATTAGAC